GGCGGCTGCATTTTCGATGGAGGCGGAAATGTTGTAGGCCTGTGTGCTCAGATTTGGGTGCACGTTAAAGAACCCCAGGTGGTCGAAATTTCCGGAGCCCTCCACTACGGCGTCTCTCATAATCATATGGTGGTTTTGGAACGTTAAACCCCACATATCTATCAATCAATCAGCTTTTACTGCATATCACAAAAACTGTACTGGCTTTCACTCTTTGAGTTACTGTAACAATCCAAGCACTATAACTAATCTGCGAGCGACACATGCAGGGTTGTTCCAACCAGCCAGTCTGTGGGAGCGATTCCTCTAAGCTGCTTTTCACGACACGTTTTTCATAGTTTCTTGACATTTACAACACTAAATAGATAAGCCCATCAGCATCGAAAATGCACCAGCGTTAAAACTGAGCGCAGTCAAATCCATCGCCTTCCCAGAGGCAAGCAGACATCGCGAGAAAAGCATGGCACCCCTGCTGACAACGCCATCGCGCGGCAGTAACGCGCTTTTGGGCCAGCCTTTGGAGGCCTGTCATCACATTTCTCCATTCTAGCCACCTTAACCAGAAGAAAGGTGTTGAAGGAACCTGATTGTAAGGTTAAGGTTAAAGGTTAAGGATGTTGTAGGTAGCCGGCGTATCTAGTCTTGCGTAATTTGCAGGCTATTGCCCCGCCCGGTTTCCTCTTTGCTGCCTGATTGTACCAAGATCTGCCATTGGCCGATGAAGGTTTGAGTTTGTTGGCAGGATTTTTGAATCTGTGTGATGCTTCCAGTTGTTGCTGCTGTAAGAATTGAATAATTTCTAGAAAAACTCGTGCTCAGCTCTGCAACTCAATGAGAATCGAACTCAATGCCATTGGAAGTTAAGTGCCGGTCCTCTGGAACAGAAATAGTGCTGGTAAAGGGGCACCTAACAATCATAATGCTGTGGCTTTTTTTTAGGTGTTTTGAAAATTCTATCTGTAATATATTTCTGAAAGGTCTCTCATTCAATCTCAAGAGTATTTGACTTTTTGAAAAAGGTGGTACAGGGCTTTTGTATCTTGCTCATTCTCAAGAGTATTTGACTTTTTGAAAAAGGTGGTACAGGGCTTTTTTAAGAGATTCCTATTGTTTTAATCAGGCTCTATAGAGAGGGCCCAAACAGTAGGTCTAGGCACTGCCAGCAGTTGAATGCTGTACATCTTTCATTTGTTTGTTTATATTTCTTTTAAGTAATAAACTGCTTTGCAATTTAAAGACAGTCGAAATTTTAAGCGAAAACTCTTGCTCTTGAGGAAGCTACACTTTTTTACCTGGAAAACCAAGGTCGCATGCACAGACGCATGTACTCATGCAGTATCATTGTTTATGGCATGAGAATTTTATGAATCATGCCACACAGGGTCAGTTTTGTAGAGGTTCTTTCTCATTAATATTCCTGTTTGCACCTTTCACATGGCAAGAGTGCTGACGGTATCGGGGAGCCATGAATTGTGTATGACGTGGCTAGCATAGGGTCGAGCGGAATACAGTTGTTCTCAGTGGTGCTGTCAGTCTTGCATAATGCCAATGCATTGTAATCCTGCTATAACGAAGTCCGTTGCATTGAAATTTCCGCCACAACGAATAATTTTTGAATCCCCATCAGCCACCCATAGAAAACAATGTGAAAAATGTCTCATCACAACGAATACTTCAGTGAAGTTTTCGTGTGTACTACCACATAACAAAAAGGAACTTGCCTAGAATTTCCGCAAAATTCCACTATCAACTCGGCCATTTTTTGATGGCCCGTGACATTCAGAGTGCACGGCTGCATCGTAACAACCATGTCTTCATCTTAAGACACGCTTTCTGTCACCACACGCACATCCTGCCAAATTTATCACCATTGAGGTGCTCGACGAAAAATTGCTCACCCACCATGATGTTGCCGGTGGGTTTGATGCGCGTTCGAGCCGCAACAGAATTCCGATCTTTTAAAGAACTCCCGCCGTATGTTTTTGACGTTGCGCTCTAAACTACGGCTTGTAATTACAAGCCCTGGGATTGTGAATGACAACGATGGCGTCATGAAGGCGCACACGCAAGCAGCGCACACCTAATTCTAGTGTAACTGCATTCTACCGTAACCGCTGCTAACACAAATGCAGTCGTGTCGATCGCGATTAGGGGCGATTACGAAGTACGCGTGCAGTCAGCATGCACTGACTCAACCCAATATTTCTTGCTGTAAGGATGCAAACAAAGATAGCAACGACTCAGTTCTTAAGTCACGCGTGCAGATTGAAAATAGAATTACTGTTTCAGTGGTGGAAATGCTGCGCCAATTGCACCATTGTGCACCAAACCTGTTTACCTGCGCCATCTTGCGCCGAACCGCTTCTGTTGCGCTAATCTTGTTTATAAGCGTCAAATTACTCTGTAGCACCCAAATTCAGCTGCAAGGTACTATGGCTATCGAGCCCCTTGCCCAAAAACGTGGCTGAAACATTGTGTTTTCAGTATCATCGAAATCCTTATACTGTCTGTTTTGTCAAAGCAGTGATCGCCCGAGCAGCAGCCGTTTGTAAGGGTTCACTTGCAATCGCTGACGCACATGCTAACTTGGCAGGCGTCGGCAAGTACAGCTCGTAAACCTTTCTAATCACTGTGCTCTCAACACGAAGAAACTGTGTGAAAAGAGCCTCTCTCCCTCGTGTGGTAGCATTCCCTTTGCGTTTTGTAGAGTTACGCGATATCGGATCCAAGAAAGTTAGCTGCCATCATGACTTCGTATAGCATTACTGTGATTTTTTTTTTAAATTTATGGCAGCGTTCACACACAAAAAAAGGGTGACAGTAATTGTGCTCAAAAGAAGGGGGATAGTGTTCGGTTCCTGGGAAAACAGATTAGCAAAGAGAAAACACAGGCCTGCTCATCGAGCGCATGTACATTCTTGTTGATTTTCGCTTTTGCCACTGTGCTCCATTATGCGGCACTTATCAACTCGGAATTTGATGCTCGCACGTTCAGCTTACGAAAAAAAAGGGGGAGGGGGGATTTCGGTACATAGCTAAAAAAGTCACAGTTGCATCATAAAGGGTACTATGTGAATGCGATTGCAACAAAAATTGTAGTGTTATATGAAGGGAGCCTAGCAGCTCACTTTATTTAATAGGCTCTTAGGTCCTATCTCACGTAAATCTGCAAAACGCTGTTGTAAAGGATAGCAAGTCAGGGAGAGAACACTTCTCGCGCAGTCTTTCCGCGTTGAGAGCACTGCATGTCAAAGTATATGCGAGCCATCTGCTTATGGTTGCCCAGCTAGCACGCATGCCAGTGCCTTTATAAGCAAAGTTCACAGTTGCTGCCTGAGCTACCTCCCCCGCTCTGCCTTCTCCAATCGCGTCTTTTCGTGCTCGTTCAAGATGGGTGGAGTGTTGCCTCTCAGCTTTGACGGCAAGCATCTTGAGCGGGTTGACATCATTGTGTGCGATAAAGATGGGTCAGCTTGTTATATCTCTGCTTCAGCAGCGTTCGTCTCCCCCCCGCTCGCACACGTGTACCCGCATACGATGAGCGGGGACATGTTATTGATTTGGACTTTATACTTGTAGGGGTGCCGACACCCCCCCCTGTAAAGTTGTCTGCGCCGCGTGGCGCACGTGTCTCGCCCCAAGGCTTTATTTCGGTGGTGACCACCGCCGGGCGATAGATGGCGTTGTGTTCGCTTTGAGTACCACTATTGGTAGAGTGGTAGCGCCGGCGGTGACCCCTGGCGGAAGGTAGGCCTTGGTGGCGGGCGAGCGTTGAGCGAGCTCTTCTGCGCGTGGCGGCTGCCGCGAATGCAGCTTTGGCATGTCTATTCGAACCACTGCACTCTCAGCCCACTTCAAGGGTCGTCTGAATATTGTGTTTTTTATTGTATAACCTGCCCCTGCATATAACTGGCACCCCCATCAGCAAACTGTTGGAGGGGAAAAAAAACCTATTCACGTAATGTCGCCTTCCTTGCCTTGCGTACAGTCGTGTCGTGAAGCCAACTTGTGCACCAGAATTCTCTTATAATTCGCACCCCGATTTTAGCTCTAATTTTTCTGTATGATTTTATCGCATTATGCGTGAGAAAATATACTCACTCATTGTGCGGCCAGGTATGTCTCGGTTAGCGGGAGTTAAATGCGGGCACTTGTTGGGACCAAAGAGTGAGTGTGAACCAGCCTTTACTAAATTTTGTGGTCTATAGATTTGCGGGATTTGAGTGTAAGATTTGCAGGATTGAGATAGCGGTATTTGAGTGTAACGACTCTAGACATGACCCATGTAGTGAGAAACATGCTAATGTGCTGCTTAATATTGTCACGGGTATAGGAAGGTACTTCCGGTTTGGGTGCCGAAATGACACTGAATGAATGAACACGGTGACGTTGTGGGACTGAGTCTTAGCTTCCCTGTGGTCCTGCATTCCTGTACGCTGTGTTTACTCAACCGGCGTTAACTTAATAAACACCTTTTTTAACAATATGATTTGCCAGATCTGGGGACTTTTCTTGTAATGATGCAAAATCAGACAAGCAGATCCCTTTTTGTAATGTGGCTGTCACATTACCCTGCACAGGAAAGAACTTGCCCTATAAAGAAAAATTTGTGATGACTCAATTTGTTAGCACACCATTGTTCTATTTGTCAATCTTATTTCATTTTTTGTTTCCTGTTCGCGTGAAGCACGGCAAGTGTACTAATTCTTGATGCAAGTTGAAATCAGAGATGTGGCCTAATACCGGAATATGCGCATGAAGAAGTGCATTATGATGAAGGATTAATAAAACTTGCCCAGTATATTTTATTGTGTGTTGCATTGATGTATAGAACGACAGCCCTGTTATGCTTGTTAACTATAGTTTATATATAGCGTATTAACAGACGTACGTACAGTCTGACAGTGCTGCCAGAACTGCTTACTGTTGTCAAGGGCACTGCCACTGCAAAAGGCAGCATGCATTATCTTGACCAAACACTTCCCATTACCTTTGTGTAGCCCGGTGCTCGTCGACCACAGTAAGCTTGAGGACGGCATGCCACCTAAGAGGGTGTTGGCCCCTATGAGGTGGGGACTCCTGCCAAGCTGGTATCAAGGAGGCCTGGCAGACTTCAAGCTGAACACATTCAACTGCCGGGTGGAGGGCTGCCAGAGACGAAACTGTTACCAGCCTGCCATTGCATCGGGCCGCCGTTGTGTGGTCCTTGCCGAAGGGTTTGTTTCTAAGATCTTTCTATGTTGTCAAATGCTGAGCTTTGTGGGGTTTGTTGGGCAAATGCTTGAGTTGGAATCTTGGCAAGCTCTGTGCATGCAGAACATTTTTTTAGGCTAGTTGGTCCATTCCTTCTAAAGAAAAAAATTGGTTGCACAAAGCAACGCATGGACAAAGATCTTGGGACTGGCGCTAGTCCAGTGCTATTTGTCTATCCGTGTGTTGCTTTGCACTACAATTTTTTTATTAAGGTAACTCTGTGCAGGGACGGTTGTAAGCTGTATGTTGTTCTGCGGAGAAGCAATTGATCACAGTTTTGTACTATAGTCGGTGACAAGGTAAGAATAAAAACTATAATGTACTATAGTCTGTTTGTATTATGCGTTAATAATAATGATGAACCAATGACAAATTCAGCATGGCGCCGTTCATGACGAGAGACGATGTGCCGCTGCCCCGAGATCGCGAGGCATTCTTTCCGTTTTCCTGTCAAGAAGCTATTTCATCAACTCGCACTCAGCATCATCCTCGCTGGCCGTCATTCGATGGTGACGTTTCTGATTTTGCAGTGTTTGAAGTGCACCGAAGCGGCAGAGCATCATCGTGTTCTATTGTTGTGGCAGCGTGAAGCAGCAACTCTGCGTCTACTTCATCAGTTGCTCGGGTGCACCAAGCGTAATGCTGAGTGTCATCACTCTCGACGATTGTCATCGCGGTTATTCGTGTGCAGTAAGGTGAAAGTGAAGTGTGAATTCGTGAGTCTGTGTTTTGTAGAATGTGAGCATCTGTGATTTATTGTCCGCAAAATCCGTGGCATCAGCGTTGCCACATGTGCGTGTGTGAATGTGTTACTTGGGTGTCGCAACGTGGTAATCTTAGTGATCTTCTGTGATATGCACTTTGCTGTGCACCCATATGAGTGATGTGAGTGCGGACAAGGCGCGAGAAAAAAGCGTCCCACGCAACCTGTTACGCAACACAGTACGAAAGTAAACAAACCAGGTGGGTAGAATATGCAATGTTCTATGCATTATAAAGTGAAATGTGGTCATTCGGTGGGTATGTGATTAACAGAGGCCGGATTTTTAGGCAGCAAAGACAGGCAGGTAAAACACCGTTTTAGGCCTTCAAAATCATAACTATAGGGAAATAGATTTCTGCTAAAATTGAAATAATTCGAAACAATGACGTTGGTGACTTGTATCTACGATAAGAAGCAAAAAAAGTGATATAGTTTTCATAGTTTTTATATGCCGAAAGCGTTTGAAAGAAACATAATTTGAATATTTTTCATGTTATGTGGTGCACGGTAGTGGGCCGCAAAATAATTAAGCTTCAAACGCTGGATAAAAGTGGTTTCTACAAACATTGTGACGCGGCCCTCGTAAATTTATTGAAAAGGCTGCGAAAGTATACATCTTTAGAAGTGGCATCCAAATTTCTTGATAGTTCTTAGCAGGCGGGGCAATATATATATATATATATATATATATATATATATATATATGTATGTATGTATGTGAAAGTAGATGCGCTTTCACATAACAACTGTTTATTGTGTCGACGTTTCGACGGGAACCCCGTCTTTTTCAAGGCATAATATATATATATATATATATATATATATATATATATATATATATATATATATATATATATATATATATTATGACATGTAAAAGTACAGGGGGGGGAGTAATTAAACCGAATCGTAAAGTAAATATGAAGAAAAGTGGGTGAAGAGATGACTTGCCGTGGGCAGGAACCGAACCTGCGACCTTCGAATAACGTGTTCGATGCTCAATCACTGAACTACCGCGGCAGCTATCCCCTCAGCCACTTTATTGGGTATATATGAGAATTTAATCGTGGGAGTGTCAGTCGGCGCCACTAGTAACCATGGTGGCGAGTGTGGCGCACTCTTTCTGAGCCTGTTTGGCGTCGCATAGCACGTGGACTCATTACGAGCTGGCAGATGACCAATAGTCTCTCGTATACAATCTAATAGAACCAAGCCTGCCAGTACGAGACTCTCCTATATGATTAAGGGAAAAAAGTGTATACGTAAGGGCTCATTTCTCTGTGTTTTGACACAATATTAAGGAGGTGTAACGGAAAGCATCGAACGTGTTATTCGAAGGTCGCAGGTTCGGTTCTTGCCCACAACAAGTTATCTTTTCACCCACTTTTCTTTCTTCACATTTACATTACAGTTTGGTCTAATAACTTCCTCTATACTTTCCTTGGCACTTGGCATTATTGTCTGTTAGATCTCAATAATGTGTCAAAACACAGAAAGGTGAGTCCTTAAGTATATACTTCTTTCCCTTATATATATATATATATATATATATATATATATATATATATATATATATATATATATATATAGATAGATACACTGAGAGTGATAATTCAATGGGCCAGTTAATCTTCGTGAAGGTATGGGATATGGCACAATGGAAGCGTTGTCCAGAAGGATAAATATATCTATTTCCCTACAGTTTTGGAAGGGGTCCTCCCTTCGTAAGGGGATGAGTTATACTCATCCAGGGGCCACCCGTACCACAACCTAACTTTGAGGGAAAAAAAAGTGGGAACTCGAAACTACAGTGTAATCCTAATCAAAACGGCCCGACTCTCGTATATGACGCTGACACACCTGTGCCACATGATCGCCGAGTGCAGCCAAAAACTTATAAGAAAAATGTCCTCAATCTGTGCAACACAACGCTTACGCCCGCTCAGCTGTAAGTTTTGTCAAGAAGCTTAACCTTTTGTCCGTCATCCGGTAGATTCAATGAATTTGAACTGTACCAGAACCTTGATAACTTTGCACGTAATCTCCGCCTCCGTGAATACTTTCATGATTAGAAAGGACTGTACAGACGAAAGTAGATTGATTGGTGGTGTCAAATCATGGTGTCCAGGTCAGCAGAGGGACAAACACGTCGATATGTATAAATTAGCAGTTCAAAAACATATCATCAGAGCGTATGAAAAAAATCGGCCATTTCGAAACAACCTATCAAAGTCGGAACCAAGGGCACTCGATGAACTACGAAAAAAGCTGAAATTACTATCAAACCTGCTGATAAAGGGGGCTCCATAGTAATTCTAAACACGTTGGACTACTTAAAGGAAGGGGAGCGACAACTGTCAGACACAAAATTCTACAAAGAACTTCCAACGGACCCGACTCTCGAATTTAAAAGTGAGATAACAGGAACCCTAAATAATATCCGCCGGGACAAGAAAATTACTGGCAAAATGTTAAAATCAATGTTACCAGCTAATTCTGTTCCCGGTTGATTCTATTTGATCCCCAAAATACACAAGGCAGACGATCCATGACGTTCGATAGTATCCAGTAACAGCACATCAACAGAAAATATATTAGAATTCATCAATTCCTTAATATAAGACATTCCCCCGAATTTTCCCTATTACCTAAAGGACAAAAACTACTTCATCTGTGAAACTTCAAGTCTACACATCCCAGGCAGTAGTTTTCTGGTGACCATGGACGTCTGCTCACTGTACACCAACATACCCCACCATGACGGAATAACGGCTATGGTTTCTGAATATGTGAAATCTGACTCACCAACTGGTGTAAGTGGCAAGGTACTGTTTACACTTCTTGAACTTGTAATAAATTATAACCATTTTGAGTTCAATGGCAAGCACTTTCTTCTGGTCAGTGGCACTGCAATGGGCACGAAAATGACCCCAAACTTCACGAGCACCTTTATGGCTTCACTTGAAATCCCATTCATTGAGGGATGCACCTTGAAACCTTTCTACTTCAAGAGATACTTCGGCGATATTTATGGAACCACGATGAGCGAATTCTTTTCCGCTTCATAGAGGATTTGAAGAAGTTCCACCTGTCAATTAAATTCACGTGCGAAATTTCCAAAACTAGCATTAATTTCTTGGACGTCACTGTCACGGTCAAAAATGACCGCTTGTCAACAAACCTTTACAAAAAGCCTACAGACCGTCAAATGTACCTACATTTCAACAGCAGCCATCCAAAGCATTGCAAAACGGGTATTCCATATACTCAGGCCTACCGGTACCGGAGAATATGCAATGATATGCAGGAATTTGACAGACACGCAGAACACCTAAAGCATTCTTTATTGAAACAAAATTATCTCGAAGACATTATTGACGATGCCATACTACGTGCTCGCAACGTGAACCGGAATGATATAAATAAGGGGCTAAACAGAGTATCCAAAACAACTTCCCAAATGAACCTTGTACTAACTTATTCCTCATCAGTGCCACGAACCAACAACATACTTTCTCACCATTTCAACATAATCAGGCAAAGCAAACGACTAACTTCAATTTTCACGGAGCCACGTCACGTGGTGTACCGCAGGGATAAAAACCTGAAGGACATTCTTGTCAGAGCAAAAATAAACCCCTCCGAAATTCAATCAGGGTGTCATCCCTGTGGAAAAGCTCGCTGCAAGGTATGCCCACAGATGGTCACAACACGTGAATCAAAAGCGAACTTCTCGGATTTCAAATTCTGCATAACTGAAAGCCTTAATTGTGACTCCAGTAACGTAATATACATGCTAGTTTGCAACATCTGCGGACAAGAATATATCAGCCAAACTGACGCGCCATGTCGGCTGCGGTTCAGTAATCACCGGTAGCACGCCACTTCACTGCCGAAGCTACCTTTATCTACACATCTACACATCTGCGCCTGCCAAACCAGAGTTTTGAAAATATCAGCGTAACTCTTTTACAGTCCTGTTTCTCAAACAGGCGCGAGCGCGAACAGCATGAGGCATATTTTATTTTCAAATTTAGAACATTTGTAGCCGACATCAACGAGGACCCCAGAAGACTCTCCTGCCTCCGAGAAGTAAGCCAGGAGGAAATTGGTGACAAAGATTCATAGCTGGAGACAATGCTTGTTTTTCTGACTGACTCGCTTGTGTGCACTGTCCTTTCTTTTTGTTTTTGTTTCTTT